TCCAAACTTTCTTTTTTCACTTACCCTTAAAAATAACAGGCATTCCTTTTAACCATATTAACCCATTCGCGCCGGGTGTCACGTATACGTGACGGGTCCACTGTGAGTTTACTTGTTTGATTGTTTTAACACATAGATGGCTACACTTGTACTTGTACGGCCTGTGTCGTCTGTTTACCCTTTTCTTTAATTTACAAAAATATTTTACGTTATCTTATTTTGCTGTTACTAATGTTCAAAACATTATAGTAATTATAATGTTTATAATAAAAATAACCATTGATATTCATAGCACTAGTAAAATATACATTTTCCCGCCAAATGAAATCAGGTAAGACAGAGCCGTCTAGTGTAGAGAAATTTCACAAAAAGTATAAAAAATGAGCACAGCATTTACCCCATTTTTTGTTCATTTCTACCCAGCGTGAATGGGTTAACATAATTATTATATAGTTATATAAAGAAATTACAAATACAACAAGTAAAGTACCATAAACAGACCATGTGTAAAACTGGCACTAATTCCAATTCTCCATGTCATAATAAACAAGTCATATACTGATTTTGAAAATTTGTGTTACACAATGTCTACAACAAAGGCATATGAGGTTGAAAGATATAACAAATCTATGAACTTTACATGGAAGAATAAAAATACAGATTACCAAGGTGACTAAGGCATACCTGAGTATGGCATTGCTAAGAAGATTCACCATGATGGGTATTGCATGGACGTAAGAATCATTGAATCTCACATTCAATGATGCTGGATCACTTATCCTGCCATTTAAAAAAAAAAATAATAAGAAGAAGACATAGAAATGATCTTACACTTAAACATGTTTGTAGTGACCCCGTAATATTGGATATGCAAGGAATAATATGAAACAATCAAAGATCATTAAAGAATATAACAACAGTCCCTGAAAGCATAAAAACAAAAATACCAAATTCCTCAAATAACAAGAAAATAAAACCAGCTTGCTAAAACTTACTTGTCTTCTGGAAAATGGCTAATATCCAAGGCAGTGAAATGGGGTCTGAGGTTATATATTGATGTGAAATTTCCATCATATGGAGCTGAGGAGATTCCTGCTGAACTGAGAGTGTTCTCTAGATGTGTCAATGTATGTTTTGTGTTATTTTGTATAAGCGCACCGGACAACTCTCTATAATATGTCCCTGAAAAATAAGTTAATTCATTAGTTTATGACCTAAAAATACAGTCTTGTGGTTGCTTGTAAAAATGCATTTGAGTGTGTGTGGTTGTATGCATTAATTCATGATTGTCTGCAAATATACTGACATACCCTCCATGGCTATACACAAAAGAAAGAACAATCTGGGGTGGAAAGGCTGATATTACTTGTTGTATAGCAAATGATAATAAAATATACATTTTCTAGCATATGAAAACCAAGCTCTTCATATGCTAGGAATTAAACTTTGCCTAAGTGAAACTTTAAAAGTTGATTTATTTTGCAGCTGGAGAGATAGATAAACTGAAGGAAATGTAGCCTTCATGGTTAGCCTGAAAATGCCATTTTCCTCTCAAAAATAACATTACTCACCTGCGTTAATATTCAACAGCTCATCTATAGGTGCCTGTACTTGCTGTGTGTCTAAAACAGCAATTGCACCAATGGTTAGCCCAAGTGGAAAAACTATCAAGAAGAACATGGCCCACTTTTCTCGTAACAAGCCAATAAATCGAACCTTTATCATGGCCTTGTAGGTTCTCCATGGATCTGGCCTAAAAGAATAGAACATCTATGAAGTAAAGTTATCTACTTTGAATTCACTAAGGTCACTTACATAACAAATTTACTTGTGAGAAAAAGTCTTCTACACAATATGTAAAAGCATTGAAAAATACATATGATTCAGAGATTTTTCTACAAACAATTTTATAAGAGAATCCACTAGCTGAGGGCTTTAATAATGAAAAGATACAATTATTCTATATACACTAAAACTAATACTTTACAGTCCATGTATGCAATGAGCCATACTATAACTTAAACGTACCTGACTTCAACAGCATTAAGTGCAAAGCCTTGTTGATTGTTATCTGTTACTTGGCCATTTTGGGCACTGGAGTTCACAGGTGAAGCTGAATGCTGAGGTGAGGATGAGGTTAGTTTCTCTCTAACCATCTGGCTAATGTCGTCCAGAGACTGCTCTCCTGCACTTTCATTTTCTTCACTTAAAGTCAAGAAAACCTGGTAGAAGAAAAATATATTTTGAGATGAAAATTCAAGCCAGGAGAAAAAGAAACATGTACTGCAATCTGCCCCTTTTACTCTTCTGAAATTAAATGGAATTAGTATTCAGTAGTTTCTGGAAAGAGTTTAGCCTGCTACAAACTTATTGGGTTTGAAACTACATACACAAATACCAGCTAGAGTGAAAGCCAACCCAAAAATTGACTGAAAGCTGTAAAGAAAATGAAAATATTTAATACAATAGTATACAAAGTATTCAAAGATAAAAACAGAAT